TAGATTTCCCCGCGCTGGAGGCAAGCAGTGTTTAGTAAGGCTCTGGGTATATAATAATATTTTATTGAATAAACGCACAGTCATTACAAATTATTACTTGAATACGAGTGTATATCAATAAAATTACACGATTCGCTGAAAAAGTAATGATTAAACATGATTTAAACGTGTTATAAATGAGCTTGAATTTGTATTTCTTTTTCGGTTGACTTTTAGTTGCAGTCAATAGAAGGAAGCCCTGGTCTCATAGACTTTGTTTTTCATGAATGCAGACAGTAAAATCGAGTGGCTGAACCTCTGGTGTACTTCCCATCTTTGGAGGGTCTGTTACACCAGCGGGGGGCCGGTGGGCGGCAAATGAGGTGGCGAGCAGTCGTCGAGTGGGCGTCGAGCGGGGGGTCCAGCGAGCGGGGGCCAGCGGGCAGCGAACGAGGGCGTTTGTCCCCGGCAGGTGTCTGCTCTCACACTGGGCGGCCTCTGTGCTCCGTCAGCATCACATCATGGGGCCTGGGCGGCCGGCGCCGGCGTGCTGGCTGGCGAGGACTCGTATCGATGCTGAATGGAACGTTTGATGAGGGGGGGGGGCCAGTCAATGAGCCGTCTGACGCATGGCGTGAGGGCTGAAGTCACCGTGAGCCACACACTGCCCACGTCAGCCTCCAGCCCATGAGGTCACTGCTTCAGATCCCTGCCGTCACCAGGTTCGCAGCCAGAATCCGTCTATCTGCTGCCCCTGGTTCTGACTCCTGACCGGGTCTGATCCAGTTTGGGGCTGAAAAGCTGGTTCAACTCTGACAGAAACCATCAACATCTGAGTCTCTGATCAAACTAGAGTCCAGAGAACTCAGTTTCTGCCTTTTTCCCTCCAAAATCAGCTCTAATTTTCTCCTAAACGTCACTGAAAGTCCTTTGACTTTATTCCAAAGCTGCAGAAAAAAGCCAGAAAGCTTCTCCACTGAACTCTGAAACAGGTTTTCAGTCTCTTCTAAAGCTGTTTGCATTGTTTAACCCACAAAACAGACGTTCAGCTCCAGTTTACAGCTTTAAGCTCCTGTTAATAAATCCTGACTCTGCTTTTCTTCCATCTAACTGCCTAAAAGGACACAAACGGCTCCATTTAATGAGCTTTTTCTGGATCGAACATCAACATCTGAGCCTCTGATCAAACTAGAGTCCAGAGAACTCAGAGTTCTGCTGCTTTTTCTTCAGAATGAGGCTTCATTTCCTGGAAATGAGCTCTGATCCAGCATCCAGAAATGAAAGAAACTTTGTGCTGATGTGGTGAAACCAGTGTTACAGGATGTTTGCAGGTTTGTATTTAATGGGAAAACCTGCTGCTCTCTGGGGGCTGATCTGGTCCGAGTTATTTAGCTGTGGATGGATTTCCAAACGGGTGAAGCAAATGTGGCGTTTCCCTCCTGGATTCTGCCGTTTTTCCAACTTTTCTCCTTTTCTTTAAATGTGAAACGCTGCACACACTGAAATGAAATCTGCTGGTTTTCAGAGAAAGTTCTATAAAACCAGAAGGCGCCAGATGAATAGCGTGTTTTAAGGGCAGTTTGGGTAATTATTCATTATTCTGCGAGCTGAAATTCCCTCGTTTGTATTTTATTTTGTAACTCGCACAACAATGAAAGTTAAGTTAAGTTTTATTTTGAAAGGAACGGCCTGTGGGTGGTTTATTGGGAACTGAACAATGTGTTTGCTCAGACCTGTTGGGGTGGGGGGGGTGATGTTAGCCGAAGGGGTTCTGAAACATTCAGTGGGTGTGTCCTCCTCCTCCTCAGGTAACTCCACCTCTGTGAAGCTGGCCTGCTACACCCTGATCGGCGTGGGGGGCTTCTCCATGCTCATGGGCTTCCTGGGCTGCCTGGGGGCCATTTACGAGGTCCGCTGCCTGCTGGGGCTGGTGAGTCTGACCAGACCCGGGCCCCTCAGACCCCTGAGGACCCCCGCCTGAGGGGGGACGGTGTCCTCAGACCCCTGAGGACACACTTAGTTAATTTGGTTTAATTTCAGCCCTCTGTGGCAACGTCAGCCTGACCGGCTCCAGATGTGTGAGTCCAGATGTATGAAGAAAGATGTGTGGGTCATGATGTGTTGGTCCAGCTGTGTGAGCCCAGATGTGTAACGACAGGAGTGGGAGAACAGGACAGATGTGTGGGTCTAGATGTG